GCTGATTTCATGCCTTTTTCTGGATGTGCTGATATCATCGAGTATCCCTACATTGAGTGTCTGTGAGACAACATTCTACCCAAAACATCAGTACCTTCTGTCATTATATGCTGTGATGTGGCCTCACCCAAATAATTATCCAGGGCAGAAAATCGATTTCATGGCCCACGTGTTGAGGATTTGCAACCAGCCTGGCTGCACTAATAGGAATGCGGATGTAACATGACATTTGAGAATCAGCCAAACGTGATACAGAGTCTGGTGGTGCTGTGAGAGTCAAACCTTACTTGAGAAAATCTTGGAGGTAACTGAGCAGCAAAGCCAGACTCTTCTCATCTAGTGGAGTGTAGGCCAGCATGGCTCCGATGCGAACTGTTGGTGGAGGAAAACAAATGAGCAGTGCAGAGGAGGACAACAGGCTAAAGGAGATTCAGAACCATTTAAAAAAAACAAAACAAAACACTGTGTCAATGGGTCATAAAAAGAAAAATTCCTACATTTGATAAAACAATCATTTGGAACCACAAATTATAGGAATTAACTACTTCTTTATATGTTTCAAACATGGTGATAAAACTATCGTGATATGGTCAATTTGTCTTTTTTCTAGTAAGGTTAGCAGTTTTTTCTTTTCAAAAACAGCTTGTGAACTAGAAGTAAAAACGTAATAGTTAAAATAATTGTTCTCAGAGTCGAATAAAATATTCAGAACTTTTATACTGCAACAGTGACACGTTTCATGATACTGTCCAAACTGAAATTCCTGAAAACTTCTCTTAACTGTTCTCACTTTTACAGCAGAAATTTTGTTTGTTTCTTTTTTCCTCTTTGAGTTTTTTTTAAATGTAGCAGTTAGCAAACGCCTGCCCTGCATTCCAAATTGCCCAGCCCTAGATAGTGCAGTTTACATCAGCAGCTATAATTGCATTTGTCATATCACACACAGGAGCCGTCATAATAATTAAGCCTATTTATAAGTTTTCTATATGTAATTTTAAAATGTAGAGCATCAAAAGATGACGTTAAACACTAACCTACACTTTCATTGAGAATAAATTCTCACTCATGTTTCTCTCTCAAGTCCGCTTTTAGACCCAAGGTGATAATTAGAGTGGATGGTGTTCAGTTCATCCGACCAACACTTCTGGATTTTTAGAACAGATTTTCTTAAATAAAATAATTCAGAAATCCAAGGAAGTGACTAAAACTCTTTTTTTTTTATTGAAGATTTTTCTCACATAACTTAGACTTATATAAACTTTAATGATCCACAAGGGAAATGGTTGGAACGGCCCCAGCAACTGACCTGATTGTTACTGTGGGGTGATATGCCTATAATTTCTACACAGGAGAAATAAAATAGCTGCCCACATGCATTTATGCTGCATGCTGTGTAGCGTTGCCATGCAACTAGGTCATTTTAAAGTGTATTAATAATCGCTATTATCACAGCAATAATGGTATATAACAACTTGGTCAAGAATTCATTTGGTGCTTCTATAGTAGGACTAATCTTGGACGAAAGGCTTATTCAACACTGGACAAAAGTGCTTGAAACAAGCTTTGCATATTTACTTACATAAATGTGCACATGAAGTATTCAACTGACAGCACTGCTTGTAACTGGATACACAACATGTAACACCCAAGCATACGTATCCACAACTACAATTAAAAATATCAACAATTTCATTTTCAGTAACTAGTTCTAATTTTGAATAAAGTTAACTATAACGTCATTTTCACAAGTCAAAACGGCAGTCAAAGATATTAAAATTCAGTTTTGACTTATCAAATTAATCCATCCATCCGTTATCTATACACTGCTAAATCCTCACTAGGGTCGCGGGGGGGCTGGAGTCTATCCCAGCTGACTTTAATCAAATTAATAGTTGTAGATAATTCAAAACTTTTTTTTTTGAGTAGTTTGACCCTGGTCATGCCAGGTTTCCTATTGGATATTGGTCCAACAAAGCATTTGAAGGATTCTTAGCAGAAGTGATGGCAGCTGCTGTAGTGGATGAAATGGTAAGAAGAGAAAATGCTGTCAAATAGGAAGAGCTTATCTGTACCAAGTTTATGGAGAACAAGAGTTTAATTTATATAAGATTTAGGACTGAAATTTACTAGAAGGCTGCTACGACATGGCAGTAAAACTTGTTGATGATGACACTCGCAGTATGATATGCACATTTGAAAAGCAAGTCACTTCCTCTTTGTCGTAGCTTCTGACACAACTACAGATGACTGCAAAGTTATATCACCGAGTCAAAGTTTTAGTTCAAGATATTTGGACTTTTTAAGGTATCTACACTGTCATTTTGACTAGTTCTACTGAATTTTACTTAGTGTTAACCTAACTAAAGATATCAAAAACGGACCATATAGCTATGTTGAATTTTAAAGGAGTAAACAATATCTTGAACTCAGCTTATGGGTCAGAATTTAAAAAGACTGCAAACATGTCAAACTGGAATTAATAATAGTTGTAATTCAGGTGCAAAGTGTATATTCTCTCCTTAGAAGCTTCATACACATGAATGGTATAAGCGACTTGTCCTTGAAAGAATGACGATGTGAATCTGCAATGTTCCTTTTGACGAGGAAGAACTGAATTACGGACATCTGAGTTACATTTTCAGTCCATACATTACATGTTAAAGCAGTTCTATTTGAACTTGTTACGCACCAAATGAAGCAAGAGTATTTGATTGAGTGAGGCTTCTGCTTGCCCTTTCAGCAGTGAGGCATTTGCAAGAAAACCTTCACATTTCTTTCACAAAGAAATAGATCATTTCAGAAGAACATTACATATAAAGTCTTTTGCACTTCATTCATTCAGGTTCAGAACGAGGCTTCTGTGGTCACATGTGAATGGAAGTAGCATGCATGCTGACTGTATACATTTGCATTTCTCGTATACGTGTGTGTTGTACAGGAGCCTACCAAACAGACGCAGCAGATGTGGCGCTCCGTACACCTGAGACATCGGCATGTCTGGGTGTTCAGCCAGAATCTCAGCGTACTGCGGCCTCTCGAACTTGTACAGAAGCTGGGTGCCCAGCATGACGTTGAAGTACTCACGAATGCCCGCCACCACCTCGTTGACTGCATACTCCCTAATTGAACGGAGAAGAGAAAAGTCACCTTCTTCTCGAGAGAAACCCAACACGGAGACTGCAGCAACCACATCTTTACAGAACCATGTAGGGATTCCAAAGCTTGCTCGAGATGAATCATCACTAATGTCATTCTGGGGCATCTATTTGTAAAGGTTTCGCTTCCCTTGTGCCATAATGCAGCAAACCTGTGACTAAATACAATGGTGAGAACGATGGTGAATAACAGGACTCACATTTATTCAGCCCCCAAAAATTTTAGTGAACATCACCTCCACAACCTATCATTTCACTGCATGTTATTGTATTTAAAGCAAGTATTTAGTCTTGGCAAGTGAATTTTCTTATTCTACTGGCACTAAAATAACTAAAAGGTAGTCTACAAGAATTAAAAAATGTTGTGTATATAGAAAATGTCACGTGGATATAAGATTCGCTAGAAAATGCATCAGTTATGTTTACTGAAAGCCACAGAATTCTACAGGATGTGTAATCACAGCTGAGGCAGCGACAGCACACAATGGTAATACCACAGAAGGAAGTGAACAACATTCCTGGGTATCATTTCTTCTCTGACAGGTGATAAAGTGGACACATGCTGTCATGCTGAACAGTATCATCACACGATACCAGCGTTTCTTCGCTGTTTCATGATTTTAAAAACATCTTGGTGTTTGCTTACTTATTATCCGAGTTTCCTTTTGATTTCTTGTAGTTTGCATAGTCCTCCAAGACAGTCTCTACATTCTTCTTAGCAGGCAGATGAAATAACTGCAAAGCATCAGAAAGTTATTTTTATCCAAAATGTTTTATCAGTAATCTGCTTTGAAGGATATTTTTCAAGCATAAAAGTCTCCACATACCGTTTTCAAATGACTTCATGCCATCATCAGGGCTACAGAGTACAGCTGGTACATCCTGTGTACTGTTCTGACTTTGGAATGCTATTTTGCTATTTATAATTTTCCTGGCTCTGATGAAATAAAGACACATTTTTGTGTTCAGTGTCATCTTAACCTGTGATGTGAGGCTGTGGTATCTTTTTGAAGTTTCACTGACTTCCAAAAATAAAACGAGGCATAAGGAATCTCTTCGATTTTTGGAAAACATTTAAAGAGCAACTTGCAGGTTATTGTCATTTCTCTATACGTGGTTACGTGGTTCTTGCCATACTGTAGATTACAACATTAGTCACATGGGGTTATCCACTGTGTACTAACACTACCTCTGTACAACACAACTGATGGCCTCAAGCACGTTCCACAAATTGACTCTTGACAAGGCGCACCTGTTGATTCAGACCACACCATGAGACGACCTCATGAAGCCGAATGAGACAATGCCGACAGCGTGCAAAGCTGTCAAAGCAAAAGGGAGCGACTTTAAAGAATCGAATATATATTCTGAATTGTTCAACATGTTTTTGTTTACAACATAATTCCATGTGTGTTCTTTTACAGTTTGGATGTCTTCAGTATTAATCTACAATGTAGAAAATAATTAAAATAAACAAAAAACATGTATTTGTATGTTGGTGTTTCATTCTAACAGAAGTTTATTCAAAATGCTTGTGTGGAATCTGTAGAATCTCCGTGACTAAGTTGTCAATCCCTCTGGGTCGATTTATTGATCAGCTGTTCGAAAGGCTTAAAGCTTCAAATGAGGAAGGTCTCTTCATTGAGGGAAACCTACTTCTAACTGTGTTACAAAATTGGCTTTAAATTTTATTGTAGTGCAAATACAGACAAATCTAGTTTCTGCTGTGTTTTAATACACATTAATTCACTGGAGTCACTAAGCTGCAAGCTGCTTTTGAGGCATTTTCTGTCAAAAAAGTTGAGAATGTGTATTGATTTTTACAGCCATCATTCTCTACCTGCTTCATTTCTACATCAACTGTTAATTCTGTATTTCTATTATTTAGTTTTGCACAGGTAGATTTCAAAAGCAGGATGTCCATATAAATTTTCAACACATAAAATTGTCCCAATTCAGAGGCTGCATCTTTCGGAGGCTGCATTTAAAGCCTGAATGTGTCACAGCAGCACAACCAAGGCTGTCCCATTTCATTAAGACATGAAGATTTTCTAATGTGGCCGACGAATGCATCCATCTTTTCCACGGCTGCAAAGGATGCATCAGCTGGATCCTACGCAGCCCCACATATCCCAAGATTAATTGCACGCTGGCGACAGCTGATCTCCAGCTAGAGTTTGAACTGCTCACAACTTGACTGAAAAGACGGATTTATCAACTTCTAAACAAAGGACTGTTACAGCTCACTCCAATAGCTAACAACAGAAGTGTTAAAATCTCAAACAGACTTTAAACATTTGTTTTAAAAAATCTGATCAATGACGCTATTGATGTGAATCACTGTAATCTGGAACAGTTGTACAGCTTCAGTGTTTTAGTTCTATTCGACTGAGGTTGTGGTGATTTTATAATATTTTAAGTTAATATTAGTGTGAATGTTAACAAATGTAAACAAGCTTAACGCTTCTTGTTTTTCAGACAGTTTAGTCCAGTACAACCGTCCAGTACAAGCAGCACCTCAAGTTCTTCAAGTATATAAATAAACATCAAAAACAAAACCACAATTTTGGGATCCATTTGAGTCAAAATATTAGGAAAAATGACATTGTCCTATCCTTATCCTCTGGACCGCCTCATTTAACAAACAGCAAGATGCAGCCTTTGCATCCTTCGGTGGACCAGTTTTTGGAAGGATGCAGCCTCTGGATCGGGACTTGGCTGTAGACGTTTCTTTTACTGTGGAACCAAATGTCTAAACTCCACAGGTCAACACAGTCAAATTAAAGTGCAAGAAAAAGGACAGTCTTTGCGAGCTCGGTTCTTCCTCACCTGTTTCTGGCGTGTGATGAGGTCCCAGTCATCCACCAGCCAGGGTTTTAGCTCCTCGGGGATCTTCACTTTCACCTCCACACGGTTGGTGAACATCTCCTCCTGGACACACACATACCGATATATAACTCTTTGGGGTTTTATTTGGTAATTATTTTTTTACTTCTCTCAGAATTACAAACACATTAACTGCAAAGCTTTACTCTGACATGTATTGTCCCTGTATTACAAGGACTTTGTAAGATTCAGTTTCAATAGAATGAAAGTAGTAATAACAGTCCAGATCACCAACTAGAACCAGCTCCCTCACTTAAATGTCTTTTCACCTGATCCACAATATAAAAATACCCTTTCCAGTGGTTAAATGGCTTCTTAAAGACCCCCGACAAGAAAATCTTGTTTTTTTTTACCTCTTAAACACGTTTAGTTTTTGCCATTTCTGACTGCAGAAAACAATCCACCATTGATTAAAGGCCCTCTCCAGGTAGGTCAAGCTTGTTTTTTACCTTGTTAACATGTCCATATGGTTTCTTTATATGCTAGAGGACACATCATGAGTGAAATAAGAGGTTAATGGAATGTTTGAGCATCTCCACCTCAAAGTTGCAGCGTATCAATGACTGTCAGGGTTTCATGTCTAGAGTTACATCTAAACTATTTCAAGACATCAATCTACTACTTTTCTTTAATTTTTTTTTTCTTTTGGATTAGTTGTTAGTGGTTTAATCATTGTCTGGAAAGGGACTTTAAAAGGAAACCGTTTCGAAGCTTTTCACACAAACAAAACTAAAATTAACAGTTTAAGCTGGTGAATGTGTTTTCATCTTGCTCTACCATGAACTGATGATACATACACTCTCCACAGTAGGATCAACCCGAGCCCTCTTCTTCCGTGGTCCCTGGGGCGGTTCTCCACTACTGGTGCCTTCACCCGGCCCTGGGGCTAAAAACAGGACATCCATGACAACTTAGAAATTACATAGAAATGACGACTTCTATTACAAGCCTGTGAGATCAATTTGACAGGTTGCCAGAACTTTTATTTGTACTGAACAGATCCAAAACAGACTCCCAAAATAGGACAGAGCTGGTTGGCATAATGAATGAGCAGGTAAACAACAACGTGTAATGTGTTTTGTACTTTTAGCTGCCACAACGCAGCACTTCAGCCTCTAATTCACTACTGCTAATACGGCTGTCCTGTTGACTTCACAGATTCAGTGTGCCTCTAAATTACTTAATGGCATGGAGTGCATTTTACATAAAGGATTAAATATGACAAGTGGTTAATCTGAAAATACACATAATGTAATGCTGTGTGTGCACTTTAGATATGTATTGTTTTTTACATGATTTTCTATTATGAATAACACTATGTACCATTTAAACTAATCGCCATGGCTGTTATGAAACACACAAGGCCACAAAGCTCAAAATACAAACACAAACTAATGTCTAAAACAGAAATAATGGGACAGTTTATAGATCATTTGGAATTTGCTGAACTAGACCATGAACATTTGGTTTTAATAATAAAATGTTCCTCTCTGAATCTGGTGTCTTATTACAGCCAGGACAAACATGTTATGTACAAATATTTTACTTACTCTTCTGTTTTGCCTTTTTCACTTTCCTGGATACAAAAAAGGACATTGTAAGTTACAACATGATAATAAATATGTACCTTCTGAGATCCCCTGGTACATTCAGTAAATGCAAGCAGACATAACTCCATTTAACATACAGTCAACTTTCAGGCCAACCTTTAATCAACTTACATAATAAATCATTCAGAGGTGGGAAAAGGCACACTTACAGATCAACATTTTTCTGCTGCACAGCAGCAATCTTCTTGCTTGGTGCTAAACCCCTCATCTTTCCCTCAACATAATGGTCCCTGGGAAAGAAAGAAAGATGAGTGAACATAATTACATAAATTGCTCAAATTGCTTTTACTGGCCATATAATAAATGTCAAGAACAACTCCTAAAGCAAGAAAAATTACATTAAGTGCAAAACTGAGTGCAAATGCTCCTACTCTTTTGTAATGGTATAATCTCTTTGAGAAAATGACTTCTGAAAGATTTAACATTCGCGAGTGTTTCTTTTTTTAGCTCAGCATGGGTCTCTGTTGGGTGACTATGCACGACATGAGTGTTCCAATTATAGTAAATAGTGTTGTGTTTTCTGCCTTTTCCTGCTATTTCTGACAATTTAATTAACAGAAATGTCTATAAAAATTGGATTTTTAAAAAAATATCCATTCCTTTTTGGAACTTGTGATTTCCTTTGGTACTGACCTAAATCTCTTTGGGAAAACACAAAAAATCCTCTATGCAGGAAAAAACCTGCACCCTAAATCTTTAAGTCGCTAAAATAAATAATTTTGGACTGATATTGTACATATTTGTGTGTTTTCAACTTTAAATATGTATATGAGGCAAATACAGAGAACAGCCAATATTTAGAGTTTTGGATTTTTAGCCTATTTGCTGTATAGTTTGCAGAACTAGAACCTGCATCAATCTCGATACTGCATACAAATGGACTTTCAAATTCCTGCATTGAAAAGTGAAAATAATTAGCTTAACTTCTAGCAACCTCCCAAATGTTTTCTTGTGAATAATGCCGGTCTCACAAAACCACCTTCCTTGTCATTTCGACAAAAACCCCATGCACAAAAACTGAAACTTACTGATTGGCCTTTTGAAGCTCTTTTTGTTTCGCAAGGTTGCTGTCCACATATTTGAGAACTCTGCTTTCAGGAACCCATTCATCCCAGCTGTAAAAGAAAAAAGAAATCTCACACTTTGAAACTCACATTCACAATGACTTCATTTACAGCTGGAGAAAAATATGAAAGCAGCATGCAAATGGTCTTCTTTTCTAACTTAGAGAAAAAGGTAAAAATCTGGTGGCTTTACAGGACAATGACCAGACAGCATGACTAGTCAACAGACGCTCCTTTAATCGGTGACTGTAAAAGGCCACCTTAAAATCCAGCTTTATTCAAATGCCACAGATGACAAGAGAAAGGCGAGAACAAGATGTTGGCATGCTGTCATTTCTATTTCCTGGATGGACATGTCTGATAAAAGGGATCCTGTCCCTTAGATTGTCCCCCAACTTCACCGAGTCCTTTGGGAAGCAGCATCGAAACCCTTGTTAACTCTGTGCAACACCGGTATGAGGTACTGCCTGATGCAAATGGTGGCTGACTTGTGAATTCTGGTCTATGGTCCTGTTCTCGACCTGCCCGTTATCACTGCCAATATAGTGCACACTTAGCTGTTTATTGAGGTCTATTCAGTTGCAGAGGTGCAGTGAAACAAGAAGTAATTGATTGCCTTATGTCAAAAAGAATGGATAGAATTTAATAAACTAGTAGATTTTTGGTTTCTTTTACCACACAAACCAAAAGGACTGATGCTGCAGTAGACCGGAAGTAAGCATGAGAGGAATGAAGACAGAAAAACCAAAGACGCTCACTTTTTGTTCCATCCGCTGTAATGAATGAAGTATTTAATCTGCTTATCCTTTATGCTGATTTTGACACACTGTAAAACAAGGAAACACACGGGTCAGTTAATAATTCATCTTTGCTTCACAGTAAATGAACCACCAGTAATAACACAAACACACACAAAGTGCTGTAACAAACCTTTGCCTCATAAAGCAATGGCCCATGAAAGCACAGGACTCTTTCACCTGCGAGGAGGGAAAACTAGTGTGAGAAAACACGCCATGATACACAAAATAACAACACAAACTGCAGCGTAATAACTCGATAAACTACCATAAAGACTTCCAGCTTCATTTTAAATGAATGTATGTTAAACAGACACATTAGCAGCTCTTTTTGTGTCGGTTTGATTCAGGCAGCTTCAGCGAACACAACAAGCTAGCTAGCCGTTAGCCTAGCATTAACCTCCGCCGCACACCTTAAGCTTGCTTTACTTAGTTTAATATGACGTTAAGATATTTTCAGGTATGTTTTAATTGACTTGTCCACACATTTGAGCTGTAATAAAGCCGCTGTCTCCCTCCCTAGAGAACGCTATTGTCGAGCTATAGCGGCGGCGGCATCAACAACAACAACAAACCCGCCCCCTTCCAGGCGTTAACATCGTCCGCGCTGGTTTTCGGCTCCCACCTTCTTGAAATTTAGGTTTAGGGTCCTGTTTTGGCGCCATTCACAGACTCAGCTGATCGGATCTCTGAATGATCAAATTCGTGCATTGCCAGAGTCCATTTCTTCCAGACACAAACACCTCCGACATCGGAGCCAAAGCGACGGTGAAGCCGAGACTGGCCTTCCTGCTGCGGGTCACCTGACCACCGTGTAGCCTCCCAGCGCTGCTGCGTTCAGGGCTCCTCCCTAGACTCAGAAAAACGAAGATTGATCACAGAAAAGTCAGAACAAAGATGCCTGGTCTACTCGATGGCGAGGCAAAGCTATCTTTTTTGGGGGGTGACCACCCTGAGACCATGGCTCATATTAGGGTGGCACAATGTCTCAATTTTTACTTCTCTAAGAAATCACTATAGATCAAATAGTACGATTTTTTTTTAGTCACTTACTCTTATCATTGCATGAAACATAGGGTAAACCCAGGTAAGGTATTCTCCTTGAGAACAGTGTGTATTTTCTTTAAAGAAAAAAAAAATCTATGATGACTATAGAAAGAATTTTTCCCTTTTATTGCTTTTCAACATTGTATTGTAGTCCATTAAATTTGTCTTCTTTAGCAAAGATCTGACCAAAAAAAGACTCTTTCATGTCAAAGAGACAACAGATTGTCACAATGTAATGCCAATACCTTAATAATATAAGACGTAAAGTTAGTGATTGCATAAATGTTTACACCCTTTAAACCAGTATTAGTAGGTGTACCTGTGGCCATAATTACAGCTTGGCTTGACTTTTACCACATTCTTCTTTGCAGAACTGCTCAAGCTCTGTCAGGTTAAACAATAAATGCGAATGAACAACACTTACAAATTGGATTGAGGTGTGGGCTCTGATTCGGCCACTCCAGAACATTCACCTTGTTGTTGTGAAATGGTTTCTGCGTACCTTTGGCTGCATCCATCCATCCATTATCTATACAATCTTAATCCTCACTAGGGTCGCGGGGGGGCTGGAGCCTATCCCAGCCAACTTAGGGCGAAGGCAGGGGACACCCTGGACAGGTCGCCAGTCTGTCACAGGGCTACACTTAGAGACAGACAACAAAGCACACTCACATTCACACCTACGGACAATGTAGAATCACCAATTAACCTCAACATGTTTTTTGGACTGTGTGGGAGGGAGCCGGAGAACCCGGAGAGAATCCACACTGCATGGGGAGAACATGCAAACTCCACGCAGAAAGATTCCGGTGCCCCCACAGGGACACCTTTGGCTGCATGCCTCAGGTTATTGCCTTGCTGGAAAACAAATCCTCTCCAAAGCAACAGTTCTGTTGCAGACTGATTTAGGTTGTTTTTCAGGATTGCTCATGGGTTTTGAAGGTTTAAGATAGGGATCCCCAAGTCAAAGGTTGCACCTCGTGGGTTTGGAGTGTTTAGACAGGAGTGACCAGGTCAAAGGTTGCTGTAGGAGAGTCGCCTCACTGTCTAGAGAATGGAACTCCCCTTATGGCATGAGACATATGTTCTTAGTTTTACATAACAACCCCCTTATATAAGCCAGTGGTTAAGGTTATTCTGGAGGGTGATTCTTTTTGGCTTCAAATCCTCTCACGGGC